TAAGATGGGCCTCCCTTGGAACTCTACAGGGCATCGTCGCAAAGCCCACATGGCCGGAAGTGGGACCCAGTGACTTTGTCTTTGGAGCTGCCAGACCTTGCAAGAGGCGTTGAGAGTGTCAACGGCTTCGCCACAGCTCGGAGGATACCAAGGCCACTCGTGACTGCCGAAAAGAGGACACCGCATCTTGCTTCACCCAGAGACGGCAAAACCACGAGCATGCCCTTCTGGCGATGAATACGATTCTCTTCTGACCGTCCTTTGGCTGGCAGTGCTTCAACCATTCTTGGAAGCTGCAGGCCACGCTTGTCTGCAGCTCAGCTTCGGTTCAGGGCTCCGAAAAGCGCGGCATCTGAGAGCGATAGCTCCGTGCCCCCATGGCCGAGGCACTCAGACTTCGACATCTTCAACTCCGTTTTCGGAAGCAGATGGAACTCCGTGCGGTCGGGGAGTCTGTTGGGCTCTCGAGCAGAGAGGGCATGACCTAAGGATCTCTTGGTCTGCTCCGGGCTTTCCAGGGAGCATAAGATGAAACTCCGAAATCGCTCACCAGCTGCAGCCATAACCTGCGCATTCCCAGGAACTTCCCTATCTCACTGAGCCCGCGAGGTCAGCAGTGCGCGCTGTAACCCGGCATGTGGGCAGGCACGCCAGTCAATGCAAGAGCCAGCTTGCTGCTCAGGAACTATCCACCAAAGAATCAAGCCCTCCTGGCATTACTTCAGATGCCTGCAACGGTTGAAGATGGAACGTAGGCCCCACACGGATTCTTGTGGAGGCTGGTTGCAAACTAGAAAGGAAGCGGACGTCGCACGGAGTGACCACCTCCTTTCTGAACGCACATGGCAGCTCCAGATCGTTCAGAGATCGACAGCATACCTTTGGATTGGGTCGGGCATGCGGGGTGTCGCCATGTGCAGGCGGAAACGCTGGAAAGGGAGGTCTAGAGACAGCACCTTGCAGCTCAGTGGGGAGCCTTCCTCCCGCTCCCGAAGGCTCCGCCCGGACGAAAAAAGCAGGAGCTCAGCTGTAGCTTCGGCCTCCGGCTCTGCACCGTCCACCACAGGCACCTCTTTTAAGCACTCAAAGAAGTCGATGAAATTCGCCAGAGCGCAGACATGGCCGAGGCTTGATTCTACTAAGAAGCTTGTGTCGTTACTGCAGGAAGTGTCGTGCGAGCATTTCATGCCGTCACCCTCGTAGTAATGCACTCTTTCGCGGGAAATTCGTTCAAGAGCTTGCTTTGTAAGCTCCCACGACTCGCGACATCTGCTCAGAGATGTTGGCCACTGGGAAGTAGCCGAGAATCGAGACAATTGGATTCCACTGTGCTTGCTACGAGTACGTCGCCTGACAACTGGAGTGCAAAGGTGCCCGGCTGTTGCAAGCAATGCGGGCTTACACTTGCCACACATCAGATGCCTAGGCGCTCGCCGAGCGCAGTACGGCAAACAAGCGGGTGCCAATCACATTCAGCCGCATGGAAACTCATGCCGGCCGTGCCTGCAACCTAAGGAGGTAATGATGGCAAGGTCTGTATGAGATGCTTTCACGCTGTGTACATTGGTAGGATAATCAGTCTCAACTTGACATGCACCCTCTGCCAAAGCTGGCAATTTGGGAGACGCTTCTCGAGCAAGCCTGATCCAAAGCCACATCGGGCGCTGTATAGGCACATCAAGAGGCCGAGTGCTCAAGCAGGGTGACAGCATCTTGCTAAATGCCTTGCTGGGCAGCTTCTTGGGGCCAGGAGTGAAAGTCTATTGTCATCCGCATCAAGCAGCTTGCACTGCGGTATCTCCTGCATGTCAAAACCTCCCACCCAAGTCAAATCTCGTCGTCTCCGGAGATTCGAGCTTCGCTAAACCACATCGAGACGGCATGGTCTCTAAGGCGAGGTGGCACACCGGAACACCACCGTGCAGCTTTGAACGGAAGACTACCCATGACCACCGATTCTGGAGCAGAGCAACACATGTACGGCCACAAATGGTGGCAAGCTTGCACTGAAACATTTGGAACTCGCAGCGGTACATGAGCAGAGGGATTCAGAAATCTTGCGACATCAAACATACAACGACCTGGCGCACTTGCGCCGGATTTACATTCTAGTCCCATGGCCACGCTCGGCGCTGCACTGTGCTGTGGGACACTGCTTACATCTAGGCTATCCATCTGAAGGACGAACTATTTGCCATTTGGGCAGGAGCGCGCTGACTAAGGCGCAGCTGCCAATCACCGCCCAAGGCTTGGTGCAGAACTTGAACAACTGGAAAGGTGGTAGGCATGAGATGGTGCGGCATGCCAGAGCAGGGACGCCAGTTGGAAAGGGACGTCCAGCAGCAAAGGCCGCTAGAGCTTGATCGCACAGAGAAACACTCGGAGAGTGCAACTCTCCGCTCCTCTTAAGCAAGCGAACTGGCCTCTGACCTTGCTTCAGCGCCTTGTCAAAAGTGCGATGGCTAGCACGCAAAGGGTCACCAAGGCAGCATTTCGGCTGCCCAGGCGCTGCTGCGACATTGGAAACGGAAAGTATCATGGCCTTGCACGAGCAAGAGCACGACTGCTGCAACAAGAGCCTGGCATGCAACACATGACGGCAGCCAGAAGTGTCTGCTGACCTATAAGGAACCGTCTCCACAGTCAAGCAAAGGCTGACTTGTTGTATCCACGAGCTGCTCCGCTTGCTCATACCTCTGAGTCTGCAGCAGTTGGCATTGGAGCTTCGCTAAACCACATCGAGACGGAATGGTCTCTAAGGCGAGGTGGCACACCGGAACACCACCGTGCAGCTTTGAACGGAAGACTACCCATGACCACCGATTCGGGAGCAGAGCAACACATGTACGGCCACAAATGGTGGCAAGCTTGCACTGAAACATTTGGAACCCGGAGCGGTACATGAGCAGAGGGATTCAGAAATCTTGCGACATCAAACATACAACGACCTGGCGCACTTGCGCCGGATTTACATTCTAGTCCCATGGCCACGCTCGGCGCTGCACTGTGCTGCGGGACACTGCTTACATCTAGGCTATCCATCTGAAGGACGAACTATTTGCCATTTGGGCAGGAGCGCGCTGACTAAGGCGCAGCTGCCAATCACCGCCCAAGGCTTGGTGCAGAACTTGAACAACTGGAAAGGTGGTAGGCATGAGATGGTGCGGCATGCCAGAGCAGGGACGCCAGTTGGAAAGGGATGTCCAGCAGCAAAGGCCGCTAGAGCTTGATCGCACAGAGAAACACTCGGAGAGTGCAACTCTCCGCTCCTCTTAAGCAAGCGAACTGGCCCCTGACCTTGCTTCAGCGCCTTGTCAAAAGTGCGATGGCTAGCACGCAAAGGGTCACCAAGGCAGCATTTCGGCTGCCCAGGCGCTGCTGCGACATTGGAAACGGAAAGTATCATGGCCTTGCACAAGCAAGAGCACGACTGCTGCAACAAGAGCCTGGCATGCAACACATGACGGCAGCCAGAAGTGTCTGCTGACCTATAAGGAACCGTCTCCACAGTCAAGCAAAGGCTGACTTGTTGTATCCACGAGCTGCTCCGCTTGCTCATACCTCTGAGTCTGCAGCAGTTGGCATTGGAGCTTCGCTAAACCACATCGAGACGCCGTGGTCTCTAAGGCGAGGTGGCACACCGGAACACCACCGTGCAGCTTTGAACGGAAGACTGCCCATGACCACCGATTCTGGAGCAGAGCGACACATGTGCGGCCACAAATGGTGGCCAGCTTGCACTGAAACATTTGGAACCCGGAGCGGTACATGAGCAGAAGGATTCAGAAATCTTGCGACATCAAACATACCGCGACCTGGCGCACTTGCGCCGGATTCACATTCTCGTCCCATGGCCAAGGTCTGACCTTCACCAAGCCGGACTACAAAAGGAAAAGTGCCTCTCCTGGGCGGGTCCAGGATGCATGAGAAGTGGCGGATCTGTGGTTTGCCCCTTAAAGCTTTAGTTAGACCTGCGCACAACACGAGGCGACGCACACGACAAAAGTTCAGGGACCTTGGCATGAACTGGCTGCACCGCGAATGCTGCCAACGCATGATCGCAGACATAACATGACGTGAAGCTTGAGGTGCTCACACTTAAGCTCATGTTGTTCCACATCTGCGGGCAACTAGGCATGAACCTGCTTTGCGTAAAGGACACTGCACATTTCCGATCTGAGAACTGACATGCATCATGGACGTACGCACGGCAATGCTGCTCTCTTGGCAAACGATCTGTCTGGATGCAACCGTAGTTGTGCTGTTGATGCGGGCATGCACGGGCCAAACACAGAACAGCTAGCAGAAGGCTTGCCTGCACAGCCGACGGGAATTTTAACAACGCTGCCTGACCTGGATTTAGACAGTGTGCAGACAAACATCCCTAGCACGCTCACAACTGGGCGCTGCATCTGACCGAGCCAAGAGGACATTGCGAATCGATGGAGCGCCTGTCGACGACATGTGCCGATTGACGATCCAGAGGGAAAGGTGTCATGTACTGAATAGAAAGTGGGGAGCGCAGTACCTGAGACGAGGGCAGCTTTTGCAAAGAAGCAAAGTGCACAGCACTGCATAGCGTACACAGAGGCCCTCGCCCGTCATAGCTTTGCAAGCACACAGCCGCGCATGCATATCTTTCAGAGTTGTTTGAAGCGCATGAAGTGTGACTTGCCATTGCTGCAATGGCCACGGCCATGAGAAACGGTGACAACGCCGGCAATGAAGCAGTGATATCTGCGATGGTTGTCACGGGCACCTGGCACCTCTAGGCAACTCAAGATCTGCAGCCGCGAGGGCACAACTTTGAAGACGAATCTGCAGCACATGCTTGATGCAAAGTCTGAAAAAGCTGCTTTTCGACTTCAACCTGGCTGCGGAGTGCTTCCATGGCTGCGCCAGGCAGCGGCAATCATGCATTGGCAGCTTTGCAAAGGCTCTTGCGACCAGTGCTAAGTCAGTCACAGAAGCGGTCAGCCAGAAGTCCGCCGATCTGGGTCTCAGGGTGTGTAGCCGATATTCATCGGACAGGCGGCAGCTCTTTGCACCCGGATGGCAGCAACACTAAGCTCAGCTTTTGTGCTTGAAACTGCAGACATGCATGTAGCGGTCGCAGCGGTTTTGCGCGAGGGTGCGGGTGCCAGCCGGGTACTGACATCCGACGCAGGCTGCCATCGCTTCATAGGAATAAGGCACCGGTAGCGTGGAAAATCCATTGCAGCTGCCAAACTTCCTGATAATTGCAAAAGGCCTGCAGACTGCCAGCTTGCATCTGGCAGGGGCAGCGATGCCTCAATCAACCAATCCAAACTCGGCTCCGAAAGGACATCCACCACGGAGTGAGGCAGGTCACCGCGAAGGCCCATTCGTCGCTGCATGACTTGCTGGCAAAAGCCAAAATGCTTGACAAAGTCATCCGATGGCATGTCCTTGGAGTGTAATGGGGAAGCTATACATAAATGCAAAGTGGAGAACATCTGCTTTGCCTAACTAACGAACCCTAGCTTTTGAGAAACTTGCGCATCCAAGCTGCTGGAATCAACTCGGTGTCACCAATGTAAAAGAATGCAGCAGGGGAGTCCATCCTGAACCCAATGCGGTGGCAAGCTGAGGGGGTGGCCGTGGGCTGAGGGATCAAAAACTCAACCTGAAAACCAAAACAAATCAAATGTCTGAGATCAAAAAATTAACAGAATAAACCTACCACATCTCTTGGAGGGCATCGTCAAGATTACCGTTCGGATCAAAGCGATTCGAAGAAGGATCAGCAACAATCAAACAAGGATAAGGCTTTCTGCTCCCCAACCAGCGTTGCAGCACTGTGCAGCGTTGAGGCTGGGGGGGCCTTGTTTGCTTCGTGGGGGGCTTGGGGGCGGAGACATAGTGCTGTAACAATAGCGGCAACAGGTCATAGTTACGGTGAAGCAAAAACACACATGTCAAGAACAGCTATAATCGGAATAATAGTAAGAGTATTCTTAATCAACTGTTGATCATGACAAGCATAGTAGTCTTCATCATCGTCATCACCACCCATATCATCATCAGGATCATCATGATAGCCATAGTCATAGCAAAAGCATTCGTACTCATAGCTTGGCAACAATCACATGTTCATGGTTGCTGTACTGGACACACGCGATAAGTGTAATAGTAAGGGTGACCGTAACAGCAACAGGAACAGTACACGCAATAGCAATAGAGCCAGTACGGCCGAACATTCAGATCTCCAGTTCAGATAAGATGATTCGGAGAAAAATGTTCGGAGCCGTTTTGGATTATTCCACCAAAACGGTAAATTTAATTTGCAGCATTACAGAGTTTGGACAGCTCTGATCCCTATTTCATTTGTTTGATGCCTATCCCGGTTGGCCCGATTCATGTAGAGTCAACTACAGCGTGTGCCGGGCCAGCCCAGCCTTAGGAAGGTGCCTTCGATGAACCATCTGACCCAGGCATGGCCCCGGGCGGCGCGCCTCCCACACATCGAACTTTTGATGGAACTCGCACGGAAAGGTTCATCGTAGTCTCCCAGAAGGGAAAAACAAACACAAAACAACGAATGCAAAACAACAACTAGCCTTTCACCCTAGACCGCAAACCAGAGTCGACGGGGTGATCTGCTGCTGCTGCTGCTGCTGCTGCTGCTGCCGAGGACTGCGACGCCTGCCTGAAAGCTATACAGCAATCCCCGTTGTCGTGTGCAAGCAGCAGCTATACCTTCAACACCCAAAAGAATCATAACCACGACCCTAAAACCAGGTAGAACGTCCACACCGACAACGACAACTCTTACTTAGCATCAGCACGCCTAAATGCATTCACGATTGGCGTCGCTGGCTCTTGCATGACTGCAATCACCACGCTCATGGCCAGTCCTCCTCGTCAGGCTCACGTCGCCACTACCACAAGATCTTCATACGATGCCTTCATCATCATCATCATCATCATCATCATCATCGCCACCATCATTAACATCGTCATCGTCATCACCTCATCATACCCTGACCATCACCATCATCATTATAATCAGTATCGGCAGCGTCAACAGATACATCAGCGACGTCACAAGTGTGATGATACTCACGATCCAAGCGGCCAGTGCGCATCATAGCCTATCCATAGTCTATCGCAAAGGAGGCAGCAGATGCTGCTGCATCAATATTCTGGTTTTCATCATCTTTCCCATCAACCTCACTCTGACACGCTCTCCATTGGCACGGCCTCGCATGGGGCTCAAAAGTCTTGAGCTCGTGCTCCTACCACAACCTGGGAGCCCAAAAGCTGAACCAAGGAAATGCTGTTGGATTTCATTCCGCAAGGGCGGCCACATACCGTGGGTGCCCGAGCCCGCCCAGGTGTCGATGAAGGAAGTAACGACATCAAGCGCCACCCGCACGCGTGCGAAGCGACCAAGTCGATGTCGTCGAGGAAGGCCGTAAGACACTGTCCGGGATCGCCTCACCTACCCCGCTTGGCACGGCGTGGTGCTGTGACGTGAGACGCGTGTCGGCTCTGACACGCCAGGGACGACCCCAGCGAGCATAGCGAGCCGCCATCGAAGGCGCAAGCGTGCGGCCTACTCTGAGCATGCCACGGACAGCCTCTCCGCAGAGCGGACATCAACCAGGCGCGTAAACGAATGTTGAGCCTGCATGGCCTAGATGTGTGACCGTAATTGAAAGGGCCTGCTGTTGGACCACCTGCCAGCGATCGAACAGCAATGAAGACTGCTGTCAAAACTTTGCTGAGTCACGAGGCAGCGTGTCATAGAGGTGCTGATGCACAAGGCGGAAGGATTTTTTTCAAGAATCGCCTGCAGTCTTGGCTAAGAAAATACATGGTGCCTGGGCAGCATTCGGTTCGCAGGGGTCGGAGTTCGTAGCAACAAAGCCCCCGAACGTCAACACGATACCCCGCACGGTGCCCCAGCAGATCCCTTTTCGATTGATGTCTCCGGGACGACGACAGCATCGATGACAACAGAACCACAACCGCCATCTAAACCTTGGCGAAACAGCCAAGAGACCAACTCAGCTAGAACATCAGATGCACACTTCACTGCAAGCTGCATTCCATCAATGTGGACTCTGATCCACGTTGTGAAAACCACGTCTGCTACGACGTTAGACATGCATTGCAAACTGTATCCCCTCGATGTGCACGCTGATGGATGCGCAAAAATCCAGCGATGCGAGATAAAGCGACCAATGTTACGAAGAGACGGGAAGTTAAGCTGAACAGTACAGATCTTAGAGGATCTTAAGGCACCTGGCATAAAATGCTGTAAAACTCTAGGCCCCCTGCTGGGCGGATGTAGCCGTGATGGTCAGTCAGGGTAATTGAATTTTGGTCTCAATCTTGAAGTTGTAAAACAACACCGTATACAGACCTCCTTATTTCGGAATTGGGTTATCGTATGTTATCGTGTTTCTTCGTCGCTTCACCGACGAAACCCACTCATCTTGATGCAAACAATACTTTTGGGTGACCTATTGCGTATTCAGCGTCGCGCACGCGTCACAAGAAGAGCATTGAGCAACTGCATCAGGTGCAAGCGCCAAGTGCGAGCAGGGCAGACTTACAATAGCACAAAGGTAGGAATAAGTTGAACGAATTCCTACACCTCTGTACCTGGCGTGGCCTGCGAGCGTGAGGTTGGTGCTGGCAAGCGGCTGCACGTCAACGAGAACCTACCCCGCATGTCCGCCAGGACGTCGTGAAAAACTCCTGGCGGACGAACCGCGAGGAGCAGGGACGCCGTGTAGGCACGCATCGCAGCCACAGTGAGCATTCCGGACAACCTCTGCGCCCAGCCTGCGCGTGCAGCCGCCGACGCCGGCTGCGCGGTGCACAGTGCTGCGCCAGGCAAGAAGGAGGCTGCTTCGGTGCTGAAGCGCCCTGTGACCTCGATCCCGACTACGACGAGCCGAACCAGGGCGAAACCCGCGTTGCGGGCGAGGAGAGCGCCAATCTGCGAGCCATCCCGCCCCGGCAGGGTGGCGAAGTTCCCAATAGCAGCGATTCGGCAGAATCTTCCCGAATAGTCACAATAGTGTGTTCGGGACAAGTTGTGGGATTTCGGGAAGACATGTTGTGCCGAATCGTTACAACGCAACAGTCCTGTCTAGGAATTCGGGAGTTCTTGCTCCAACATGCGTTCCCGAAATCCTAGAATTCGGGAAAATGTTTGGGAATCAAGCCGGAGGCGCGGCGCCGAAGCTTCGACGAAACTTCGGCGCCCTCCGTTCGAAGTAGTTTGATCGAAGTTTGGGTGTCCCTAAACCCTAAACCCTACAAGAAGGGCCCGCGAATTTAGTTCACTTATAACCGACTTGTCGAAAATTTGGCATACTTAAATTGAACTTATCTTGACGTGGATATACAAGTTATAAATTCACTTATACGTTTCATAAGTGGTTTATAAGTGGTTGTCCCGAAGTTTTGATAAATATTTTTACCTTGAAATCTGCGCGAGAATCTTGACACCATATAAGTCATAAATCCGCCAAAAAAGAACACATACACAGACAGCAGCAAAACCAAAACAAACACATTCAGTTTTTTACACACATAGACACGCAGCAACACATGCAAAACAAACAAAAACACAAGAAACAACGACACAAGCAAGCCAACATCCCAACACCCCACCAAGCACACGAACAAAGATTGAATTATAGAACATATAATACCGTCAACAAACCAGCAACGAAACAACCCACCAACTACACGAACACATGACCAAACAAACAAAAAACAACCACTCAAGCAAACATCAAACTAGCAGAGAAACAAACAGTTAAACACAATCATAAATAGACAAGCAGAGAAACAGCGAAAGAAACACACACACACATACACCCACGCAAACGTGCACACGCACGCAGAAGCAGACACACACACACACACACACTTGACGTAGTTTCCTGTGGCTTAGATTCGATGACGGAGATGAATACTCCACCGCCTCGTGTGAACAAACGTCGAACTGTGTCGCTGCTACATGAATTAGATGGCACAGAACGAGCCGATGACAATAGTGTGAGCCCAACACATTCAACACCAGAGTTGGACAGTGAAAGCAGCCACAAGTCGCTTGATAGCATTGCCCAAGTGGTGAGAGCAGAGATTCAGGCAGCCGTAGCTCTTTTGGAACCCCGTCTTGGCAATCTCCAATCCAGGCATGACCTTTTTTACGCGATTAATTCGAATGTAGGCACACAGTACCGCTCCCGTCCCAATGCGAAAAGATTTTCAAGTCCAAATCCGTAAAGGCATTCGTGGGGCTCATGGTGACAACATCAATGAACAAGCATCTGTATGCCAGTCTCTTTCAACAGATGGAGCTAATATCGCAAGTCCCCACTACGTGAAGAGGCTTGCGCCCAAGACATCCCGGGTTGGCGGGGAGAGCTTGAAAAAGGCT